GACACCACCCCCCGCAACCTTGAGGGGCAACGGTGCGGGGGGAACCCCGGCTCAGGGGGCCGGAGTCGGCGATTCGTCGCCGACAGATCGGCGATGAGCCCACGATAGCGAATCCGCGCGCTCCGGGCTATCGGGACCCCATCGGCGATGGCTGGGGGTCGGTGCACCCACCCCGAAGCCCACACACACACCCCGCCCACGCTGCCCCGGGCCCCCGCGCCCGCCAAAGGTTCGGCCGCGCCCAAAGCGCCGCCTGCGCTCTGCGAGGGACGCGGCGCCCTGCGAAGGGGCGCCCCCGCCCAGGGCGCGAGACGGGCACGCCCGAGGTGGGCTGTCTGGCGAACCTCCTGGCGGCAGCACTGCAGCGCGATGCCGAGAGGGCGCCAGCTTGCACACGTGCACTGGTCATGGCCAGGTCCATCCAGCGGGAACTGGACCAGGAATCCCACCAGCCCTCCGGGCGTGGGTGGTTTAGGAAGTTTCCTCTTCCCCTTCGGGTTTACCCCTCCCCTACCCCATCACCTGGACCTGGACGGAGGGTTCCGCGACGCGTTGGAGCGTCCAAAACGGCCTCGGCGAGGAAGCCAAAATCATTTGTTTTACTAGCTTTTGGCTCCATTTTGGCCTCCTGAGGGGGCGAGGCTAATTGTGCCACCCCCCCTCCTGTGATCGATCTCCTCCAAGATGGCCCCAAGAGGCGCCCAGGAGGCCCCAAGAGGCCCCGAGATGACCCCAAGGTGGCCCCATGTGGCCCCAAGAAGCTCCCAAGAGGCCCCCGGGATGCCCCCAAGAGGCTCCCAAGAGACCCACGAGGCCCCAGGACCCCCCAGAGTCACCCAAGACGCTCCATGAGGCCTCGGCGAGACTGCCAAAATCACTGATTTTACTAAGGTTTTGGCCACATGTGGGCCTCCTGGGGGGGGCACTGCCTCCGATGACTCCACGAGCGCCTGGGAGAGCCCAAGACGACCTCCAAGATGGCTCAAGATATCCCAAGATGCCTCAAGATGGAACCCACGATGCTCCAAGAGGCCCCAAGACCGCTTCAAGACGGCTCCAAGTGGCCAAAGAGCTCCCCCAGGAGGCCCCAAAGAGGCCAAAATCCTTCCAAACCTCAGGAAAAGCAATGTTTTGGGCTTTCTCGCCTTTTCGCTTCCGATGGCCATCCGAGGCTTTAAGATGACTCCAAGATGGCCCAAGAGGACTCCAAGAGCGCTCCCAAGGCTCCCAAGAGCGCTTCAAGAGGGCCCCAAGAGGCGCCCAGGAGGCCCCAGGAGACCCCAACAGGCGCCCCAGAGGCCTCCACGAGGCCCCCAAGAGACCCCCAAGAGACCCCAAGAAGCTCTCCGAGGCACCCAAGACGCTCTAGGAGGCGTCCGGGACCGCCAAGAGGCCCCAAAGACGCTCCAAGAGGCCTCCACTGGGGGACCCTTCCTCTGTGTGCTGCCCACTTCCCTGATCGAGGCACTTCCTCTGGGCATCGTTTCTGGATGGGCTGGTGGGGTTACTTTTCGGTCGCGGCCGCGAGCGAAGAGCGCAGGCGGCGATAGCAGTTGTCCGGGGCTGCGAACAAGGCTCATTAGCTGCAAGGCGCCTGGTGGGGTTACGTCAAGCGTTTAGAATTCACATACGCCCAACCTGGGCCCAGGAACGATCGTGACAGAGGAGAACAGGGACAGTCGCCACCGAGAACCCATCGGCGGGGGCTGACCCCTGAGCGGTGGTACGCCTGGACGTCATCCAGTACAGGACGACGCTCAGGCGTGCCACTGCACAGTGGCGGTGGTCTGCTCACTCTGACAGTGGCGCCCTCCGAGATGTGGGTCTGACGAGGGCGGGCACGCTAGGAAAGAGCTTCGCTGGCAGCACAGCTTTCCACGCGGTGTGCGCCAGAGTCGGGCGCGAGCGGGCACGCTCGGAGCGAATCTCTTGGCAACAGCGCTGGCCACGCGATATACCCTGGAGGCGAGCGGGCACAGAAGAGACGCGTGAGGCTCAAGGGAGAGACTCCGGAGGGACACCAGCCCAGGCCATCTGCAGTGAGGGAGTGGCTGAGGACAGCACGGACATTCTAGGCTGGCCAGGCGACCGAAAAAGTGGATGACACCGACGGCGAGCAGGACGAGGAGGATGCCTTGGCAGAAGAATACGACGAGGAAGACGTGGAGGATGAAGCCAACTGGGAGGTGTACATGAGTTCTTGCACTTGAACTCAAACTCCATCGGATTGCGGGAAGACGAGAATCAGGTCTTGGAAGGCTGTCGCACTACGTAATGGTAGAACGTGTCAAGCAGCATCAAGGTGACCACGCTGTGGTGACAACTCTGCGGGGCCCGCAAGGAGTACGTCTGACGGCATCGCCCACGCAGCGTGCTGAGCTGGCTGGCTGGCTACGCCACGGCGCCACTGACGCACCAGCTCCAGGTAATGTGTTCTCTGGAGCCAGTCCTTCTGCGTTCACGGCCGTGGTGAACGCGTCTGGCTTCGATGTATCTGTGACTCGTAGAATGAGGACAATCCAGACAGGACGCCCACCGGCAAAGAATTAAGCCGGTCTTCTGCCAGTGTGATCACGAGCGGCCAAAATATCTGTATCCACGCCCTCGCGGTCTGGATTCTGGGGCTCGATTCCGTGGATGAGCTGTCGCATCAGATAAGATCGGCGCAGGGCATCTGCGAAAAAACGCCCCGCATCCATGGAGTCGCGACCCAGGGGCCTGGCCCGCGAGGTCGCGGACATGGGCATGCTTCCCGCCCACGATGTGGCATCTGGATCAGCGGCATGCTCGAGGCTAACGAGATGAACGAGCTCTCAATGCTCATGCGACTGTCTCAGGGCGCGGAGATCGAATGGCCGCACGAATGAAAAAGATAACTACATTCTGCAACACAGCACAACTGAGACATGCAGGGCAGTCACCCAGCTGTTTCTTGCCAAGCTTCCGAGGCGGATCATGCCGTGGCGACGCAAGGGGCTGTCTCGGAGGCTTGGGAAAGACCACAAAAACACATAGCAGCTCCCCTCCGTCATCTTCCCCCCTCCTCTCGGGTGTTGCCAAAACGGATTCCCTGGCCCAAGGGAGTTCCAGGGAGGCCCAGCTGGTCTCCAGAATAACCCTTCGAGAGGCCCGAAGGCCCAGGCCACGGGCTCTAAAATGGCACGACAAGCTGGGGAAACCTTGGGCCAAGAACACCGTTAACAATCACCCCCCTCCTCCGCGCGGAGGGCGGCGCGGTCCATTCCGCTATCAGAGAGCCGTATGTCCAACGCCGCCTCCTCCAGGGTCCTGTTCTGCAGCACCCTGGAGCGGACGCTCATCGCGTTCTTGGCCAAGCGGCCAACATCCCTCCACATCCTCGTCCTCCTGCTTCTTCTCCTCCTTTGTTCTGTTGTACCCTTCAAGCGAGTCAGCGCTACGAAAGCCGATGTGCAGCAAAAACTACAGAATCACTGTCGCTGTCGCCATCGCCCGACTTCCTGGAACTCTGTTGAACCACCAGTGCAAGCAAGTCCTGGTCCAGGCCAAATCGAGCTAGCAGCTCCTGCCTGCTTGCTACAATCCTCGCCTCACACAGGTTTCTACTCTCTTTTTCCTCCACTTCTCATCGCAACACCACAATGCTGGTAAAGTGACCGGTTCGCCCGACACCTTCCCCGCACCTTCCGTGTGCTCCTGGAGCATCGAATTCCCAGCGAATGCACAGACGAAGGGCGGCTCGTTTTCAAAATGAGACCGATCGCCAAGGCGCTGCACTCATACGTGTGAATCGTGTTCAAAATCAACTCGGCGCGACCCGAGTTAGTGGAAAGCTTCCGATTGCATGGGAACAGTATTTGGCTTTCTTTGGCATGTCCTGGGACCCGAAGAACAAGACTGGGGAAACCGAGGAACCCAAGCAGGAAACAAAACTGGGAAACCCGAGAAAGAAGACTGGGGGGCCCGAGGAACGCAAGCAGAAAACCAGACCGGGAAAGGAACAAAACTGGGGAGCCCGAGGAACACATGCAAAGAACCTGACCAGGGAACAAGACCAGGGAATCCACGGAACCAAATCAAGGAGCAAGACTGGGGAACCCGAGGAGCCCAAGCAAAGAACAGAGCCCGAAAAACAAGACTGGGGCACCCGAGGAACCCGAGCAAAGAACAAGACCAGGGAACCCGGAGGAACGCTGGGCTGACCGCAGTACCCACCAGTTCTTCACAAGCAAATGAAGGTCCCATAGACAAAGCCTGATTGGGAAATTGGTGTTTTACTTTGGCGCCGCGCACGCGTGTAAGCTTCTCGAGGCCCAAGAAGGGCCGAGATCGCCCGAGAACCTCGAGCACCTCGAACCTCGATCGATCGGCGTCGGCGCACAGCTCAGGACATCTGATGTTTTCCTTGTTCAGCTTGCGGCCCCCGGAAAATCCAAAGCCCTAGGACAATTTGTCCACACTTAGTGCCGAACCGTCCTGTAGTGTTGGGTCTTCGTTCTGAAGAGACAGCGCTCCGCGTTCGTCACTCACTCCTCCTTACTCCTCAGGTTCCGCCAGGCTGAATGGCAGTCGCGTGCCCACTGTGCGCCCACGAGGTACCCAAACCACCCACGGTTTCGACAGTCTCCGTCAGTGCGCGCGGTGCCAACAGGGCCCCAACAACACGGGATCATCCCTACTGCCCGCGCTGTGGTCCCGATTAGGTTCCACGTCGCGCACGGGGCCGTATGAGTCCCACCACCTGGTAACTTTCTGCCGCTTAGGCTTCAGTGGGGGCCGAGGACTCCTCTTGGACTATCGGCCAACGAGAAGGTCCAAAAAAGAGGGTCCAAACGTACCTCCATCTTCTTTTCACCGTAACCCAATACACCAGTCAACCAATTACACATCCTCCTCCATGGGGCCGTGAACGGGATACATCCCCTGCCAGCTGACGGCGCCTGTCAATGTCAGTAAACCATCAGTCTGTCGCCCAGCATCGTCCGTGACATGGCATTATGTCAGGCCTCCATGTCACTCATGTGGCCTCGCTGTGCTTCCCGTCCACTCCGTGCACCAACGGTCGCCCAGCTTCGTCCGTGCAATGGTGATCCGTCAGGCCTTCATGTCAATCGTGTGGGGGTGCTATGCCTCCCAAACCTTCAGGGCAACATGCCCTGCCCACGCCACGGTCCCGTCAGGTTCCATGTGGTTTTGGGCAGGTCATGCCGCCCCCCCCTCCCAACACACCTGGGGCTCCGTGATGGGGGCATCTTGGGCCACTTGGGCCGTCTTGGAGCGATCCTGGGGGCCTCTTGGGCCGTCTTTGAGCGATCTTGAAGACCTCTTGGGCCGCTTCTGGGCGAGAACGCAAAACTACTTCAAAACCGTCGGATAATCTATGATGTTCCTCTCTTGGGGCCCAATCGGGAGTGCTCTTGGAGGCACCTTGGGCCGTGTTGGAGGCCTCTTGGGTCGTCTGAAGCCTTCGGAGCCGCCTGGGGGCGTCTTGGGGTCCAGGCCGTCCGGACGCAATTTGGCGGCCTCGAGGGCCGCCTGGAGAGCCTCGAGACCCGTCTTGGCGCAGTCTCGGAGCGGTCCCGGGGCCCCGGTCCTCCCATGGGGGGTTCAGGGTCCAGTTTTCAGACCCCGGAGACCCTACACATAAACAGATATATATATATATATACACACACACACATTTACATAAATATAAATTATTCACTGCGTGGAGCTCCCAATATGTGCATCTACTCGCATGGACCTGTCCGCCGTGAATGTCTAGGCGCAAGAGCTTTCGAATATTAACGGGCTTCAGTTGTGACGGTCTGGACATCAATCTAACTGCGAATGAATTGGAGTATGAATGAGCCTCAGTAGTACGAGCGCGTCTCTGTGCATGAGCCTGGGGCCTCCTGGGGCCTCCTGAAACCTACTGGGGCTTCCTGGGGTCTCCAGGAGCCTCTTGGGACCTCCTGGGACCTCCTAGGAAGGTTTCGTGCCCCAGGGGAGGCGCAATCTATAGCAACAGACGTACATAAAATATTGCGGATTAGAGCCACAGGAGAAGGGCAATCTATAGGAACACGCGTAAAACACCAAGGACTCGTGCCCCAGGAGAGGCCCAATACATAGGAACATGAGTAAAACATTTAGGATTGTGTACACAGGAGAAGGACCATCTATAGAAACATACGTAGAACATCAAAGAATCGTGCTCCAGGTGAGGCCCAATCGATAGGAGCATACGTAAAACACATGGGATTGGAGCCTCTCCTGTTGCCTTCTGAGGCCTCCTGCTCCTGGGGCCTCTCGGGGCCTCCTGTTGCCTTCCGAGGCCTCCTGGCGCTTCCTGTTGTCTCCTGGGGTCTCCTGTGGTTTCCTGAGGCCTTCTGGAGCTTCCTGGGGCCTCCTGGAGCCTCTTGGGACATCCTGTGGCCTCTTGAGTCTTTCTGTGGCCTCCTGATGCCTCCTGGGACCTCATGTGGTCTCCTGGGGCCTCCTGGAGCCTGTTGGAGCCTCCTGTGGCATCCTGAGAAGAATCTGCGCCCACGAGCCTGGCCACCAAAACAAGCAAACCGATCGAGACATCCTCAAAATCTGGCCCACCTGGGGGGTGAAAATGAGCGCCTCGCTCGAGACATCCTCCAAATCTGCTCCGAAAGCGAAGGATGTTGGGCCAGAAACAGCAAACCGCCTGAGACATCCCCACAAAATGGCCGCGAACGAGCCCGTGCAACCACCCCTGGCGGCTCCCCTTAGGGGTGCTGAAATGAGCGCCTCGCTCGAGACATCCTCCAAATCTGCTCCGAAAGCGAAGGATGTTGGGCACAGAAACAGGCAAACCGCCTGAGACATCCCCACAAAATGGCCGCGAACGAGCCCGTGCAACCACCCCTGGCGGCTCCCCTTAGGGGTGCTGAAATGAGCGCCTCGCTCGAGACATCCTCCAAATCTGCTCCGAAAGCGAAGGATGTTGGGCACAGAAACAGGCAAACCGCCTGAGACATCCCCACAAAATGGCCGCGAACGAGCCCGTGCAACCACCCCTGGCGGCTCCCCTTAGGGGTGCTGAGTATGAGTAAGTCTGTGTATGAGTAAGTCTGTGTATGAGTAAGTCTGGGTATGAGTAGGTCTGTGTATGAGAAAGTCTGTGTATGTGTACGTCTGGGTATGAGTAAGTCTGAGTATGACTAATACTGTGTATGAGTAAGTCTGGGTATGAGTGAGTCTGTGTATGAGTACGGCTGGGTGTGAGTAAGTCTGTGTATGAGTAAGTCTGTGTATGAGTATGTCTGAGTGTGAGTAAGTCTGAGTATGAGTAGGTCTGAGTATGAGTAAGTCTGAGTATGAGTAAGTCTGTGTATGAGCAAGTCTGAGTATGAGTAAGCCCGACAGGAGGGGAGGAGAAAAGAGGAGGAGGAAGGAGAAGGAGTAGGAGGCGTCCAAGTAATAACAAGAACCCCATCTTAGGATATGGGGAATACAGATGTATAAATATTAAGAAATACATCCGCCGCGGTGCCCGCCTTTGTCATGCCATGCCGCCGTTCGGCAACGACCTCACCATGCTGCTTCCTCCTCCTCCTCCTCCTCCTCCTCCGCCTCCGCCTCCTCCTCCTCCTCCTCCTCCTCCGCCTCCTCCTCCTCAGCCTCCTCCTCCTCCTCCTCCTCCTCCTCCTCCTCCACATCCTCCCTCCTCCGCCTTCCCCCCTCCTCCCCCCCTCCTCCCTGCCTCCTCCCTCCTCCTCTTGTCCCCCGCGCGGCGGGGCCTGATCATCCCCATCGCCGCGTTCGACGTCATCGACTTCCTCAGGCCAGCCTCCTCGCGGGCAGGGGGCTGTCCGCCACGCCAGCCTAGGCCTCTTCTCCGCCGCGAGTTGCTGGAGGGCAACGACGAAGACGACGACGACGACGACGACGACGACGACGACGACGACGACGACAGCGACGGCGACGACGACCCCGACGACGGCGAGGACGAGAGCGAAAAGGAGGAGAAAGAGAAAAAAGAGGACGACGAGGGCGAGGAGGGCGACGAGGAGGACGAGGATGAGGACAAGGAGAAGAAAGAGGATAGGGAGGAACATGATACCTATACGTATATATATATATATGTGCAAATGTATATATATATATATACACCTATTAAATAACAATGGTTTAAACTCCGACGCATGGCTACGTTCTCAAAACACCTGATTGGGCGACAAGCAATTGCAATGCTGGAGATATCGATCGTGACGTCCCGTGCCCAGGACTGTGCTGTGCTGTGCCGTGCTGAAACGATCAAACCGCCCTTGGCACCAAGATCCTGCCCGACCTGATATGGATCTTAAGCTCGAGATGCCTGAGCGCATAGCTGGCCCAGAGCTGGTTGCAGTCGAAACGTGTGGGACGCACAATCATGTCACGCTTGTCCCACTATGAGGCGGTAGGAAGCCATGTGGGGGAGATATTTAACACGCGGTCGTCTGGGCCAGCCACAGCTGGGGGGGCGCAATAACAAGAACAACTCAATGAACCGACACTGGATGTATAATAACTGGAATCGTTATGAAGAGGGGCTTCCTGGGGGCTTCTGGGACGTCCCCTGGGTGCTCCAGAATCCGTTAGTAAGCAATGCATCATGGTGCTTGCCCCGCTCTGGGGCGTTCGGAACCCACGTGATGTCACGCTTGTCCCGCTCTGGGGCGTTAGGAACCCGCATGTGTTCACACTTGTCCCGCTCTTGCGTTAGGAACCCACGCATTGTCACCCTTGTCCTGACCTGGGGGGTAGGAACCAATGTGTTGTCATGAGTATCCCGCTCTGGAGCGTTAGCAATCCATGTGTGCTCACGCTGTCCCGCCCTGAACCGTTAGGAACCCACATGGTTTCACGTGTGCCCTGGTCTGGGACGTTAGAAGCAAGTTTGTTTGTCACGCTTGTCCTGCCCTGGGGCGTTAGGAACCATGTGTGCTCACGCTGCCCCGCCCTGCAACATTAGGAACCCACATGTTTTCACGTTTGTCCCACTCTGTGGTGTTGGAAGCACATGTGTTTGTCACGCTTGTCCCGCCCGGGCATGAGGAACCCATGTGTGCTCACGCTTGCCTCGCTCTGGGGCGTCAAGGACCCGCGTGTTGCTACGCGTGTCCCGCACTGGGGCGTTAGGAACCCACGTGCTTTCACGCGTGTCCCGCTCTGAGGCGTCGGGAAGCCACGTGCCGCCACGCGTGCCCCTTCCTGGGGCGTCGGGAACCCATGCGTGTTGACGCTTGCCCCGCTCTAAGGAGTTAGGAAGCCACGCGGCTTCACGCTTGCCCCGTCCTGGGAGGTGAAGAACCCACGTGTGCTCACGCGTCTCAACATTCCTAAAACCGCCCGGGCATCCGGGGGCAAAGAAGCCCATCCACTGTTGCACAACGATCGTCTCTCTCGATACAGCCTCGACAATGAGTTGCGCAGGACGCGCCATCCTCAAGCGGGCACGCAACAAATCAACGTTTGCGAATGTCCTGCCAAACGTGAGGGCCCCCATACCTCGTATGTATTGCTGAGCCTGCGCAAAACGCATTGCATCCTTATTTTAAACGGAAAATGGTGGTCTGCGGACCCCGCTATTTATCGAGGAACCGAGATGGGGTGGCACACTTTCCTCGAGCAGGCACGCGCGAAACGCATTGAAACATGATCGGCCCACGAACCCGGAAAGGGGTTTAGAACTGCGAGGCATGGAAACGCTTCAACGGATATCAATTTGGCGATGGGCAGTGGCAATGCTGAAGATATCGATAGCGATGATAGTGTGCGAAGGGCTGTGTTGTGCTGCGCTGCGCTGGGCCGTGCCGCACAGTGATGGGCCATGGGACGCGCCAAGGGACAAGCCACGGGACGCGCCGCGGGACATGCCAGGGGGGACGCGCAAGGGAACGTGCCAGGGAACGTGCCATGGGGACGCACCACGAAAGATGCAAAAAGGACGCGCCACGGAACGTGCCAATGGACGTGCCACGGGACGTGACAGGTAACGCGCTGCGCGACGTGCCAGGGGGACGCGCCACGGGACGCACCAGAGAACGTGCCAGGGAACGGGCCAGGCGACGCGCCAGGGGATGCGCCAGGGTACGCGTCAGGGAACGTGCCACGGGACGGCGCACAGGACTCGCGAGAGACGCGCCGAGGGAAGCGCCGCGGATCTCCTGGAGCCTCCTAGGATCTCCGCGCCCCGTTGTTAGTCGAGATGGCAAGGGCAACGCGATCCCTCGTAAATTACGCTGCATCTGCGCCCCCCCCGGCTGCGATCCATCGCAAATTCCGCTGGGCCCGCATTCCCAGTGCCACGATCACTACCAAATGGTTCTTTGTCCGCTCCCCCTGGGCCACGGTCCCTCGTAAAGTACGCAGCGTCCGCGCTCCCAGTGCCACGACCCCTCGCAAATTCAGTTGGCTTCCCGCTCCCAGCGCCAAGATGCCTCGTGTAAAATGTGCTCGATCCCTGCGCCTCCTCTGCGGGCGCGGTGCCGTGGAGCTTCCGCTCAGACTGCAGCTGCTCTGACAGCTACTGCACCTGTCTCCTGAAGAACTGCAGTTCGTCACCGCCGCCGCCTTCGCCCGCTTTGCGCTTCCGGATGAAGACTGCTCGGCTTGCACGTAAGCTTTGAAGGCGGCGGCCTTGCGCGTCTTGATCTTAGTACACTGCAAACAGACGGCGCCGTTGACCCAACTCTCCCCAGTCGGACCGTGACCGCAACACCTGCACCCCCACCTCTGCCGTTGTTGGTCACGGCCCTCCCCATTGTACACTGGGCACAATGTACAGCGATCGCGGATGGCAAAGATCGGGACTGGTAAACAGGCCTGTCCTGTCAGAAAACGCGGGACCTGAGCCGGCCCCTCGGCTGTACACAAACTGGAGCCCACAGGGCTCCGAGGCTTCAACTTGAGCCAAAATGGCTACGGACGTGTTGCCACGCTCCCAGGGCCACGATCCTTCGAAAACAGCGGTCCGACCGCACTCCCAGAACAATCTGGGCATTCTGAGGTGCCCAGGCCTTCCAAGCACTGCAAAACAAGCGTCTGACGCGAGACATCCTCAAATGTTCGGCACGCGGGGCGCGCCATCCTCGAGCGGGTACGCAAAAAGCTAGCAGTCCTTCTGCAGAACAAACGTCTCGCTCGAGGCATCCTCGGGGACTCGGCGCGCCGGGCGCGCCATCCTCGAGCGGCGGCGCACGAAGTCTACTTGTTGCACGTTCTGTAAATTTCAGGGCCGCCAGACCTTACTAACTATTGCGGATTCTTGGAAAAACGCTACGCATCCCGTTATTATTCGAGGATCTGGGATGGGGTACACTTTCTTCGAGCGGGCACACGCGAGACGCATTTTGTAAAACAAGAATGCGGCTGTACCTCGTTATGATTTTTCGCAGGTAACTCCGCCAGCCCACCCCAAGCATGGTACCTGTGACAGTGGAGCACGACTAAAAGAGGACCTTGGGCCCAAGCCTCGTCCAAGAGAAACAACTCGGGACCAAGAACAGGCCATGGGTAAAGCCCCGTAGGGCGCAGGACCGGCTTCCCCCGGACCCCCTGTCCTCCACAGCGGGGACGGAGGGAGGAAGGGGAGGGAAGCCGAGCCCGAGAACCCCCCCTTCGCCCATCCCCCTTCCCTCCTCACCCCCCCTCTCCTCTTCGATTACCTCCGGAGCGTGTGCTTGCCCACCGAAGCCCTCCAAGACGACGCCGGCGGCGCAGCGACGGCCGGCAACGGCTGCGTGCCGTCGGGGGGGCGGAACGGGGCACACACACACACACACACACACACACACACACACTGGGCCAACATACGTTCTGAGGATAATCGGCCCCTCACCGCTGCCGCCGCGGCAACCGCCCGAAGCCGCCGGGGGGCCGCTGGGGGGTCGCCGAGTGGCCGAGATGGGCCGCCGAGGGGCCGAGATGGGCCAGCATGAAAATGATCCTGGAGGAAACGGCCTGGGGCTAGCTCCTCACCATCCCGAAACGGTCGGGGTGGCCGAGAACGGCGAGAAAGCTGCAGGGGCCTGTTTCCCTAACGACCCTTTCCTTCATGGCGACCTGTGTCCGGAGGGTCACTCGATCTTCGGGTCATCAGAACTCGGGTCTCCAGAGGCCGTTCGGGACGATTCGGGCACCCTTGGAACCTCTGGGCGAGGCGCAGCTGCTGGAGCGCATCCCAACACCGACGAGAACGTCCGAAAACGCTCGGCCGTGCACCGAGGGTCCGACGAGGGCCGCCGGGCAGACGCGACCGAGGGCCGCCGCTGGACCGCCGAGGGACGCCGCACCGCGCCTGCTCCACCGGCACGACGAGGTGCCTGAGCCCCCTGGCCGCCATGGCGGCCTCTCGCGGCGGGGCGCCCGGCAGGAGGGCAAGGGGGCAGCGGGGCGTGGACATGTCCTCGTCATCGACCTCGGACCTGCTTCTCCATCACTCCTCCACCTCCTCCTCCTCCTCCTCCTCCTCCTCCTCCTGCTCCTCCTCCTCCTCCCCCTCCAGGCCGCATCTTCCTCCCCCTGCTCCTCCTCCTCCTCCTCCTCCTCCTCCTCCTCCTCCTCCTCCTCCTCCTCTTCCTCCGCCTCCTCCTCCTCATCCTCCGCCTCATCATCCGCCTCATCCTCCTCATCGTCATCCTCCTCCTCCTCCGCCTCCTCCTCCTCTTCTTCCTCCGCCTCCTCCTCCTCATCCTCCGCCTCATCATCCGCCTCATCCTCCTCATCGTCGTCCTCCTCCTCCTCCGCCTCTGTCTCCACCACCTCCTCCTCCTCCGCGTCCACCTCCTCTTCAACCATCGGTCCTCGAACCTTTCCTCCCATTGCCCCTCCCCCCGACCTGCCCAGCGGCGCTTGATGACCAGGACTCCGGGGCGAGCTCGGCCGTGGCGACCAAGGCGGCCCAGGAGGCCCGAGAAGGCAAGAAAAACGCCCGAAAACCTCGATCCTCGAGCCACGACCGACAAGCATCGAACGAGGAGGACCGTCAGGGGAAAACTAGCTCAGGCGGGGAACCAGCGAGCTGGAATCGACGATACATTACAGGAGGCCGCGCGGATTTACACTGCCAATGGGTGCGTAGCTGAAGTGGGGATCCGCGGTGCCGCTTATCGTTGATGTTGTTGTGTTCGAGTTCTCATTCAGAAGAAATCGCTGGTCCAACGGGCCAGAGGCGTGCTAGAATCTCCAGTACGAGGTCTGGATAGTTCTAGTTCGCGCGCGCGGGGCGGCCCCAGGGGCCCCCCAGACGACAAGTACCTGCCAAAGTCCCTGCCAGGTCGGGACCGGGAATGCCAGAGTTCCTTGGCGCGGCCATCAGTGCTCCCAGAGCGCCCCAGGAGAGCCCCAGGAGGCGCCAAGCAAGGGGCTGGCCCCACGGCTTCAGGCCAAGAGCGCGCCAAGATGGCCAAACATGATTTAAAGACGGTTCCAGGGGCGCCCAAGAAGGCCCTGGAGAGCTCCACGAGAACCGCGCGAGGGCCGCAAGAGGCAAAACACAATGATTTTGGCGTCACCGCCTTTTCAGGCTCCCGACAGCCCATGACAGGTAAGGAGGCCACCAAGATAGCCCCAAGTCAGCCCAGAACCCTCCCAAAACAACACCAAAACGTCCCAAGAGAGCCCCAAGACGGCCCAAGAGGCCTCTCAAGAAGGCTCTCTAGGCCCCCAAGAAAGCCCCACGAGAGAGGATCCGAACTCACATGTCGAGCCCTCCTCGAAAGATGGCCCTTGACACCTCCTGCAGGCGCCCAAGAAGCCTCCAAGAAACCCCCGGAAGCCCCTTAAGCGCCCCCGCCAAACCCGTCAATACGGCCTCAAGAGTGAAAGACTTTGGCCTCACCGCCTGTTCGGGCTCCCGACCGCCCAGGACAGGTAAGGAGGCCGCCAAGATCGCCCCAAGTCAGCCCAAGACGTTCCCAAGACAGCCAAAGATCGCCTCAAGACGGCCCCAAGACTGCCCAATAGGCCTCTCGACAGGGCTCTCCAGGCCCCAAAAAAGACCCGACGAAAAGGGATCCGAACTCATATGTCGAGCCGTCCCCGAGAGATGGCTGTTGAGACCGCCAACGGGCGCCCAAGAAGCCCCTGGAAGCCCGTAACGCTCCCCCCGACACACCCCTCAGGAGGTCTGAAGAAGAAACGAGACAGCGATCCGCAACTACTTCAGTCCTTCCTCCTCCCGCTCCCCTTCTCCTCCCACCCTTGACTCTGCCCTCCCAATGTAAGCAAATCCGGCCCACCCATCACACGTTTCGTGCCCCCGTGGGGAGTCCCACCGAAAGCCTCAAGGGCTGTGCCACATGCGGCCGCCCCACCCAATTCGGCACACTCCTCACATTCTTTGTAGGCCCCATCACCCATTACGTGACCCCACCGAAAGCCATGGGGGAAAGTACCACATGCGGCCGCCCCACCAATTTCGGCACAGTCCTCACATATTTCGTGGGCCCATGGGAGCTCCACCGAAGGCCTCAAGGCGGTGTCCACAATTCGCCGCCCCACCAATTTCGGCACACCCGACATACGCTTCGTGGCCTCATGAGGATATGGTCAAAATTACGCGACCGAGGAACCCCACATACTTATATTATGGCTGGAGTGATGAGAGCTGAAGTGAAGCATGTGAGAATGTTGGTGGCCGTTGCCCCGCCGATACCGCTGTGCCCTGGACGACCGTCACGGATAGCGGCCGCGGTGAGAGACCACCCCCTGCGCACCCCCCTATGGTGTCGAGAATCTGCCATGCCTGCTGTGCCCTGGACGACCGTCACGGATAGCGGCCGCGGTGAGAGACCACCCCCTGCGCACCCCCTACGCTGTCGAGAATATGCCATGCCTGCTGTGCCCTGGACGACCGTCACGGATAGCGGCCGCGGTGAGAGGCCACCCCCTGCGCACCCCCTATGGTGTCGAGAATTTGCCATGCCTGCTGTGCCCTGGACGACCGTCACGAGTAGCGGCCGCGGTAAAAGGCCACCCCCTGCGCACCCCCTATGCTGTCGAGAATATGCCATGCCTGCTGTGCCCTGGACGACCGTCACGGATAGCGGCCGCGGTGCGAGACCACCCCCTGCGCACAACCTACGCTGTCGAGAATATGCCATGCCTGCTGTGCCCTGGATGACTGTCACGGATAGCGGCCGCGGTGAGAGACCACCCCTTGCGCACCCCCTATGGTGTCGAGAATATGCCGTGCCTGCTGTGCCCGACCGTCACGGATAGCGGCGCGGTGAGAGACCACCCCTGCGCACCCCCTACGTGTCGAGAATATGCCATGCCTGCTGTGCCCTGGACGACCGTCACGGATAGCGGCCGCGGTGAGAGACCACCCCCTGCGCACCCCCTATGGTGTCGAGAATATGCCATGCCTGCTGTGCCCTGGACGACCGTCACGGATAGCGGCCGCGGTGAGAGACCACCCCCGCACCCCCTAACCCATGCCTGCTGTGTGGACGACCACGGATAGAATGCGCACCCCCTGTGGTATCGAGAATATGCCATGCCTGCTGTGCCCTGGACGACCGTCACGGATAGAGGCCGCGCTGAGAGACCACCCCCTGCGCACCCAATATTGTGTCGAGAATATGCCATGCCTGCGCTGCCCCGGACGACCGTCACGGATAGCGGCCGCGGTGAGAGACCACCCCCTGCGCACCCCCTATGGTGTCGAGAATATGCCATGCCTGCTGTGCCCTGGACGACCGTCACGGATAGCGGCCGCGGTGAGAGACCACCCCCTGCGCACACCCTCTGGTGTCGAGAATATGCCATGCCTGCTGTGCACTGGACGACCGTCACGGATAGCGGCCGCGGTGAGAGACCACCCCCTGCGCACCCCCTTATAGTGTCGAGAATATGCACTGCCTGCTGCCCCTCCGGTGTCGAGAACATGCCATGCCTGCTGTGCCCTGGACGACCGTCACGGATAGCGGCCGCGGTGAGAGACCACCCCCTGCGCACCCCCTCTGGTGTCGAGAATATGCCATGCCTGCTGTGCACGACCGTCACGGATAGCGGCCGCGGTGAGAGACCACCCCCTGCGCACCCCCTCTGGTGTCGAGAATATGCCATGCCTGCTGTGCCCTGGACGACCGTCACGGATAGCGGCCGCGGTGAGAGACCACCCCCTGCGCACCCCCTATGGTGTCGAGAATATGCCATGCCTGCTGCCCCGGACGACCGTCACGGATAGCGGCCGCGGTGAGAGACCACCCCCTGCGCACCCCATATGGTGTCGAGAATATACCATGCCTGCTGTGCCGTGGACGACCGTCACGGATAGCGGCCGCGGTGAGAGACCCCCCCCTGCGCACTCCCTATGGTGTCGAGAATATGCCATGCCTGCTGTGCCTTGGACGACCGTCACGGATAGCGGCCGCGGAGAGAGACCACCCCCTGCGCACCCCCTCAGGTGTCGAGAATATGCCCTGCCTGCTATGCCCTGGACGACCGTCACGGATAGCGGCCGCGGTGAGAAACCACCCCCTGCGCACCGCCTATGGTGTCGAGAATATGCCATGCCTGCTGTGCCCTGGACGACCCTGACGGATTGTGCAGACGTCTTGGGTGTATGATGCAGTGAACACGCGTCTTGTGTGTGCGAGTGTGTGCATGCGTGCGGCTGTATGTAGACGCGTGTCTCATGTACTTGCCGTGCATGTGTTGACCGCGGGTTGAGGAGAGGAATGAAGAGGAGGAGGGGAGGAGAGGAGACGCGGGTGCGCCGCGGCAGGAAAGAAAATTATCCCAGTGCGACCCTACCTAGGAGTTGGAGCCCCTAGGAAAGCAGAATTAGTAGTAACAGTAAAGCTAAGCTAAAGCTAAGCTAAAGCTAGGCTAAAGCTAAGCTAAAGCTAAGCTAAAGCTAAGCTGAAGCTAAGCTAAAGCTAAGCTAAGGCTAAGCTAACAATAAGCTAACACTGAGCTAAAGCTGAGCTGAAGCTAAGCTAAAGCTGAGCTAAAGCTAAGCTAACGCTAAGCTAAAGCTAAGCTATATCTAAGCTAAAGCTCAGCTAAAGCTAAGCTAAAGCTAAGCTGAAGCTAAGCTAAAGCTAAGCGAAAGCTAAGCGAAAGCTAAGGCTAAGCTGAAGCTAAGCTGAAGCCAAGATGAAGCCAAGATAAAGCTAAGCTAAAGCTAAGCTAAAGCTAAGCTAAAGCTAAGCTAAACCTAAGCTAATGCTAAGTTAAAGCTAAGCTAAAGCTAAGCTAAAGCTAAGCTAACACTAAGCTAAAGCTAAGCTAACACTAAGCTAAAGCTAAGCTAAATCTAAGCTAACGCTAAGCTAAAGCTAAGCTAAC